ACTGCATACCATTATTTGCTTTCATTTGTTGCAGTAAATTTTTCGACAAGATCAAGGGTATATGTGCCTTGATTATTTAATGGTGACAAGTTATTGCAACATGTGTAGAAATTAACAAGGATAAGAACAAAAACATGCATAACTTAAATGAAATTTCCCTATAGCACGAGCTCCGAATTTGAAGACACATTCTCTAGTGCAATCGCCCTCCAAACACTCATCTGTGTTTTTTAGTGGCTTTTTGACAGATTTTGGCTTCCACCACTATGGCTCCAGTTCCTACAATCAAAATCCATGATATTTAAGCTTTGTTTGGTATAGTTTTGGTTTAAGATTTTTTATTTTATTTTATTTATATATTTAGTAATTAATATTATATTTAAATTAAATTTAATAAATTTGGATTTTTCTAATAAATTTTTATTTTTAAATATAATAATAGTTACTAAATATATAAAAAAATGGCAACTCAAAACTTAAAACCAAAATTATACTAAATAGAGTCTTAGTTAATAAATTCTTAATTTTTATTACTAATAATTGAGTTTTTTTGGAAAATGTCTAAACAATTTAAACATGAATGATAAAAATTTCTTGGTCAATGTCTCAAACATTTTTTTTTGTATATATGTTTGTTAATAAGCTACATAAAGGAAAATTTTCTCTTCTTTCCTAATATCTCTATTTGTTATGTACTCCTTGGGGATCCATGACTATTTGTTGATATGGGTAAAAATTATTAGAAAAAGATACCCTCCCATTATAGTAAAAGGTGAAAAAGAAAAAATGAGGAATTATTGAACAGAAGAAATGAAATGAATGGTATAAGCACCCATGATGGGATTTTTTAAGGTTTCTTTTTGGTTTAATGAATAAATTACTTTCTTCTTCAAATAAAATAAAGAAATAAGATGAGAACTAACTAAAGGCAGCAAGAGGAAAACAATAAGGAGGAAAAAGGTAGAAACTCCTCGTGGTTGCCGATCGTATCTTTCTCATGATTTGCTGCAGTTGTTAGTGACTCTAGCTGCATTAGACCACAATATGTCTATACATATATACACACACAAAACTTTGAAGACTTAATAATTAGTATTCGTAGATAGGCATTTTAATAAGACAAATGATTAACATGTAAATAGTTCTAATGAAACACTTAAATAATGAAACTTTCCAATTTTATTGAGCCAAATATATAATATAATAATTAAGTTTAGATATCTCATATATGATATTCTTGATAATCAATTTTTATTGGTTAATAGTCTTTTCCCACTAAAGATTAAAACATCCCTTATACTCTCTTAATAATAACTTTTTCATTTGTTGGTTGATAAAAAACTATTCAATGGTTTAACATACACAATTTAAATCATATATATAATATATTTTTTTAAATAAAAATAAATAGAAAAATCTTTATATCTCATTTTCTACTAACTTTTCAACCATTTTTTCTCTCACAAAACTTTCGAAGAACCTTCATGGTACAAAGTGCTACCTAGTTTATTGATTTTTTCAATGAATCTCCTAAGTTTATTGTAAGAGATTACTAGGAAACAGACAGGCGTGCCTTGAAGGAGTCCCAATTGAGGTCTTTCTCTAGATATTCTATATTCCAGGGATTAAATGGTCCTTTGATTCTGTCAATGGACTTTATTACCGCCCTGGCTGGAACAACACTTCTTGATGGGTCAGGTGAGGTTCCGTGGCTCAAGCATGAGGAGAACCCCTGTAATTAATTAAAATTCACGAGATATGCTTTTATTAGGTCCAAAAAAAGAGTGAAAATTATTGCTACTAATTTTAATTTTGAAAAATAAAAAATTCATTTGTAAATATTGTATGCGTTTTGATAAAAACAAAAGTTTAAACTAAAAAAATTTCTAATTGATACAATCATCTCATATTAAAAGGATGGGACCGTATATACTCAAACTAAAATTACGCTCCCAACCACTTTCAGGGTCTATTTAGGCACATTCTTTATTATTAAAATTTTAAAATATGAAAAAATTGTTTATTAGTCATATTTATAAAAAGAAATTAGATGAAAAAATATTATATAATTATATCATTTTAATTAATTATTTAAAAAGATTAAAATCTCTTAATTTTTAAAAATTAATTGTTAAATTTAGTTCTTAAACTTTTAATTTTAAATACATTTTTTCCTTTAATTTTTTCTTACGCTTTCTTCGCCTAATTTTTTACGCAATGTACCTATAAGCATACCTCCTAAAAAATAATTGGGGTTTTCAATGGATCACTAAGTCTAAACATTTTTAACAATTACAAAATATAATTCAACTTACTATATTGTAGAGACTTGGTAGTTAAAATGATTTTATTATTACTATAAAACACTTTTACATTCTTATGTCAAGAGTTCGAACTTATTCCCCTCCCACTTCCTTTCCGCACGGGGTTAACCTCCAGTAAATTTAAAAATGAAAAAAAAAATCTAATTGCTATATTTTAACCCCTGTCTACAATTTACTTGTTCTCAAGAGAAATTAATTACTAAACCAAATTATAAACTAATCAGCATTCAAGAAAAATTTAGAATTAAAACCTTACACATAAGAGAACTCGATCCTCCAACGAAGCTTTATTGGCAGTAAACTTTATCATAATTATATTGGTCAGAGGATAGTATGTAAGAATCACCTTAAAAATAAGCACTTCTACCTCTTCCTGATCCAGAAGTGCGTGCACAAGAACTGCCTCTCCTGGGGCAGATTGAGTGTACAATTCAAGCATCGCAATCTCCTTATTATACTCATATTCTTCTTCTTCTTCTTCTTCCTCTTCTTCATACCTGACCTCCGCCTTGCGCAACAGACGGGGCCTAGCTCGGCTCTTGGTTCATAGCCCAATCTGAGAGCTCGAAAGGTGGAGATTATTGGCGAACAGCTGTTAGGGTTTGGGTGGGGTTTACTTGAGTGCTTGAAGACAGTTGGTAAAAACGGAGGTGAGAAGAGCGTAGTCCATCCTGTTGTGGGATTCAACATGGAGGACGGACAGAGATGGGTTCTTTCTTTCTTCTCGGAGTCGAAGATAAGGTGGTCACAGATGGCAAAGATTTATGTGAGCAGCAGGTGGCTTTTTATTTTTATTTTTTTTGGCCCTAGCCATGTCCCTCTTTTTTTTTTAAGTGAAAATTTCATGTGATGAAATAATAAAGAAATATATGATTTAACTATAAAAATTATTTTAATTATTATCAATTTATTTTATATTAAATGTAAATCTTATATTAAAACTCAAGTATTACATTTTTACATTTTTGGTGGTCCATGTGGTTCATGTAGCTTTTTAGAGAGAAAAAAACAAAATTCAAACTCTATATTGGCTGGAAAGTGTTGGGAAGGAAGGCAAAAGTTCATCATTGGACATGTAGAAAGTAAATTGAAATTCAATGTAAAATCTGTGTATGCTTTGAGCTAGGTTGGCAAGATATATTATTTACTTATGATTATACTTATTATATTTATGATATTTTTGTTGAATATTAAATGTTATTTTTCTGAATATATTAAATATTGATTAAATCACTAAAATGTTGTTATATCAAAAGGCAATAGTAACCATTGCTATTAGTGAGAATCATATCATGTGATAACAATGTTCTCAAATTGTTCATTACTTGTATAAATCATTGAGATGAGATATCAATTGATATAAAAGACTAACATATATGACACTTTACTAGATGACAAGACTTCTTCTCACAAAATCATGTGACATGTGAGTGCTTGAAGAAGGTGAGTGCACTAGACTAACCAACTATGAAAACACTATATGCAAATGTTATTGTAGTATCAAGGTATGATGTAAGTATAAGTAATCTTTTGATTTGAAATCATTATTGTTCTATGTGAGAACAATAATTTTTTGACTTGAAATTATTATTGTTCTATGTGAGAACTCATGTAATTTAATATTATTAAAAACAATGATTATGATGGATTGTGAATAATACATTTATTAGTTGCATCACAAATTGTATGAAAATGGATCAAGTCAAGATAGGATTCATACATCTTGACTTAATGGGAGAAAATATCTCTAGGCCCTTTCAATCAAGATACTACTCAAAGTCTATTGCCAAAACAAGAATAAAAGTGTTCATTTAATAAGATAGTCTATCTTGTGAATAAAAGAAAATACACAGCATGCATCTTGTTAATTTGATTGAGATATCAATGATAAAATGATTTAATCACATCAATGTATTAATCATAGACAGATCAGTCAAAGCCATCGACATTTCTATCACTTTTAGGTGATCATGATGTGTTGTTAGATATTGCTCTTAGTCTATGGGGTCATTGTCACTATAACAGAAACCTAAAAGGTCACACACTTTGTGCTCAAGATGGGGATTTCTATAATCTAATTTTATAGAAAAAAGGATTAATTATATGAAAATAATATTTTTGTTATGTTCTCTTTGTATTGTGATGATGATTTAGAATCATGATTGAAAGAGTTTATTAATCTAGGTGCTAAATGTGAAAAAAAGCTAATTCAAGGGTTCTAAATCCTAATAATTTCCCATGATTACAATTAGAACTTAACAAGCTCTTGTTCTCCTTGACTAGAGTTGTGTTCAAATCTAGTTGATTCAAACCAATCCCATAGACTGGAACTTGAGTTTTTCCAAAAATAGTTCGAATATATATTTTTAGATTCGAACCAAAAATTCTAGAAGGAGCAATTTTGATAGTTTAGAAATCATACTCATCTTAATGAGCCATAAAAAAACTCGAATGGTTGAGCTAGTTTTCAAAACAATTTAAAATTTGTTATAGAAAGTTGTAAAAGGTGGAATTTAATTGGAGCAATATTTGAGGTGGCATTGAAGACCAAAGTAAGACTTAATTGCAAAGATCTCTTAACCAACCATTAGAAAAATCAAATTTAGATTTGAATTGCAATTTTGAATTCTTTAAATCTTTCTTATTGTGAGCTCCTTGGGTTATTTATTTCGTTTCCAAGGGTTTTGTATTTTTCTTAGATTAGGATAACCCTTGAAGGGGTTATGTGTGTTCTTGAGATTTATTTGTGAGGATTTAATCTTACACCCATAAATAAGAATTTGTTTTGGTTTAATCTTGCACTTGTAAGCAAAAAGATCTTAGTGAATTGAACTCTCAAATGTGAAGAGGCTTGAGGAGTGGATGTACTTTAGGTTGGAATAGCCATCATATATCACAACTTGATATTCTTTTCCCTTTCTCTCCTCTTTTTTTTTTTTTTTTTTTTTTTTGCAAGAATACAATCACCTTGTAATTATTTATCTTTGTGCACATAACAAATCTTATACGTCAAAATTTGATTCAAGTCTTAAGGAAAAAAATTACAAGTTTTAAGTAAGTTTGATAGGATCCAATTCACCCTCTCTTGGTTAGCTAGTTGAAATTACAATTTCACAAGAAAAATAAATTAATCAAGTTCCCAAATCAAATTGATAGAATGAATTAAATTTATTTAATTCAAATTAGTTTGAGTTTAGTTTTACTTCAAGTGATGGAACTAGAAAAATCTAAGGTAGGCCAATGTAGCTCAGTAGGGTCACATGGCCAAAACCCTCTTAATAAAGCTTATTTATATATAATTAAAATAAGTTTATTTTATTAATCTTTTTTTCTTTTATTTACTTTTCATTCACACACAATCACACTTCTCT